TCGTTTCAAAGCTTGTGAGGAGGGAATGTGTTCATCTTTAATATAATTGAAGATAATTGTTAAAAAACAAATGTGGAAATAATAACATAAGATGGAACTGTTGAAATAATACAAGCATGTCCAAAGCTCTAAAAATATTAAACATGGACTACATAAATCTCATCGCAATGTTTAAATTCATATTTTTTTGTACCTTTATCCATTATTTTTAACTGTTGATTCAAGTATTACGGAACTTGAGATTGATAGAATATTCACAATAAGATTGGAAACAAAATTATTTATGTTAAATGCTTTAAATACGTAGCGCCAGTATGATCTGAATGTTAAGATGTTGAAGTATTTATTTTCTGAAATTAATTTATTTAAATGATTTATTTAAATGAATATTTATAATAGTTCAACATCTTAACATTCAGAGCCGTAGTGACGCATCGTATTTAAAGTAAAGTGACAGAGCATTTCCCTATTTTTTAGATAGAACTCTCAAACACTTTAGATGTATTTTTCAATTGATTTTCTTGTAACGTTCCCTAAATTCTTTTTGGATTTCTCACGGTTAAATTTTTTTGTTTACGTATATTTTCAAGTTTACTTATTTAAAATCGTAACAAACCATAATTTTTAACTAACATAATTTAATTTAATTAATTTAATTTAATTTAATTTATTGCAAAGACTATATGTTAACAGTGTAATAGACATGATACAAAAAATATGATACCAAACATTTTACTACACTTTTCGCATTTGTAGGTGAATACACTTGTATTATCTCGACTTTGGATCATTACAACACCTTGCGTTGTTGAAGATCCTTTAACAGATACTTTCTCAATGGAGGACGAATTCAATTCGATGACACTTTCTTTTTGAGACATAACGTCGAGACCAGAAGCCAAATTCGGCATTTGTTTGGAATCGACTGTAACAAGCCCATCGGCGTTAGCCACTAAAGCAGGTGGTTGGCTAGATTTTTTTTCATCTGCAGATTGTAATTTTAATGACGTTGCCAGATCAGTGTCTGAAATTGAGGTTGTATTGGATTTACACGATTGTGTATTAGCGCGATTGAATGCATGTTGAATCACGTTGCTATGGCCTAATAGTCTTTGGTCTTCAGATTCTCCAATCCATTCTTCATCACTACCTGTGTCATTTGTCGTTTCCTTTGCGACACTGCTTCCTTCTTTTTCTGAATCACTCTCCGAATCATCGATCGTCCCTTTACTCAACATTTCAATCTTTTTCTTTTTTATTGAGCCATACGATTGCTTGACTTGATTCGCTTTTGATTTTCTAGACCGCATCGAACGTTTTGCTTGAGTCGTAGTACTTGGTCCAGGCTGACTAGTCTCAGTTTTTATCACTGATTTTTGCAACGGCAAACTGACATCTTCGACGACTGTATTAGTCTTCTTTTGCGCTTCTTTAGACTCCTTTTGCTTAGCGTGACTCCGTTCAAATTGATCCAATAAACTTTTGGATGCTGCTACGGCTTTTGCAGATTCGCATGAAGCCTTTTCATGTGGATAGCATTTCCATTTGTTTACGAATTCCGAATATCTCTTTTTAGTATTAAAACGTTTGACTAATGTTCTATCGACAATATATTCTTCGTTACTTAGATCTGCATTTTCTTCGGTAGTTGCTTTGTCAGTCTTGATTTTGGATTTGACGGATGTTTTTTCTTGTTTGCTTACTCCAATTTCCATAGATTCAGTTTTCTGTGTTTTTGTTTCCAGTACCTTCGCAGAATTTTTTTTAATTTCGCTTGTTTCTTTCGGTTGTTTTTTTGTGACAACTGTAGGAACTGCTATCGGATTGGCACTTTCGACATTAGTATTTGATTGCATTAGGGTATCCTGCATCTTTGCGTTACTAATTTTTGTAAAGGTTTGTACACATTTCCCCGCTATGAACCAAGTTTCTTTCTCTTTTGTATCCATTTTACACCATTTCTGGTGCAATGTCCAATCGTCAGATGCCTCCTTGTCTGAACTGTCATGAACTTGTGTACTCTTCCATAATAGAAATGGATATATTTGTGCATTTTCTCTATTATCATTGGTGTCACGAATAAGTGACGTTTTGGAGCAGGATCCTTCTTTTGTGCGATGTTCTTGAAACTTTTCGATAAAATGAAAGACAGAATGACACTGTCCACATATCAGTATATCTAATTGTTCCATTGCTTCTTGCGCTGCTATAATAACTGTGGGTATATTAGTGATGGCTGAAGAGCTATCAGCTCCCTCCATTCCGTATACGATTTTCGTCACGCGATTCTTTTTATATGGTAAAACTGACAAACGACTGGATTTTTCTAAGTTTTGAAAGTAGTTTATCTTCAGTATGTACCTTACTATTATGTCGTTTTAAAGCTTGTGAGGAGGGAAAGTGCTTTTCTGTAATATTTATGAAGATGATTGTTAATAAACAAATATGGTAGTGATAACATAAAACGGTACTGTTGAAATGATACAAAGATATTTTAAATTAAAAATATGAATCACACACACATGAACTACATGAACTTTTTAGGTATGTTTCTCGATTGATTTTATTGTAACGTTTCTTAAATCCTTTTCGTATTTCTCACTAAATATTTTCTGTTATGTATATTTTCAAGTTCATTCATCTAAAATCGTAAGAAATTATTATTTTTTTAATAACATAAGTTGGATTTGTTAAATTTAGTCATCATTATTTAATTTATTTTACTGCTAAATTGGTGTATTTTATTGTTAGTGATACTGGATATATAATTTTAAATGTTTTTGTTTACATATGAACGTGTTTTTTATTTTTTCTTAATTTACGTAAATAAAATATTCAGTAAAATAACTATGAATAGAATTATAATCGTTTTTATATTAACATTTGTTTGAGAGAGCGTAGTATAAATTCATATTATGTTTTGATTTTACCCTTTGTAATATTTTATATTTTTGACGTTGATAATATAATGATCCGATCGTGATCGGAAAATCTATTTGTTTATTGCATGCACTTTGTATTAAAACAATGAAAGGTATAATTGTTTCTTCTACTTTTGTATAAACTTTTATATTAACGACATTTAATTTTTTAAAATAATTTTTGGTTTGTAGCCTCTTTCATGGTTTTTAATATTTTATGAGTCTTATTACAAATTGACATATTAAGTAAAATGTTAGATTGAAAACGTGGGACGTTAAAATAATTAAACGTATTTCAAACTGACAGACAGTACGAATAGGAACATGAGAATAAGAAACTGTCGTCAAGGTTAAGAACTATATTTTGTATATATGACTAATATGTACAGAATAAGGAAAATTAATAGTAAACGCGTATAATTGCTTGTCATATAAAATCTGATATTTGTCATATAAAAAGAAATTAGAGGTAATTCAGTGAGCAATAGCCAATGATCATTTTACATTCAATGATGATAACGGATTCCATGCAATAAAGTTGTAATAAAATGATAGCTGTCACGAAAATTAATAATTAGAGAAACCGAATAATGTGTCAAAAGCAGGCAAAATCATAAAATAAAAATTATAATGATACCTGACGATCAAAAGGTTGATATTTTGATAATTTAACAACTTGCAAATCTTTACAGCTTAGACGTAGCAATAATCAAGTTAATTATGGTTGAATTTCAAATTGTTTGCTGAGATCTAACAATGTGTGTCAATGTCTTAAAAACAACTGAGACAAGACAAACATAAATGTATATTTATGTTATATATATATGTATAATATATACATATATACATAACATACATACATATACATCTATGTTTTATATATATATATATATATATATATATATATATATAT